TGTTCTTGATTTGTTCTTGATTTGTTCTTGATTTGTTCCTGATTTGTTCTTGATTTGTTCTTGCGTTGTTCTTGATTTGTTCTTGATTTGTTCTTGATTTGTTCTTGCGTTGTTCTTGATTTGTTCTTGCGTTGTTCTTGATTTGTTCTTGATTTGTTCTTGATTTGTTCTTGCATTGTTTTTGATTTGTTCTTGCGTTGTTCTTGGGTTGTTCTTGATTAGTTCTTGATTTGTTCTTGCGTTGGTCTTGATTTGTTCTTGCGTTGTTCTTGATTTTTTCTTGCGTTGTTCTTGATTTGTTCTTGCATTGTTTTTGATTTGTTCTTGGGTTGTTCTTGATTAGTTCTTGATTTGTTCTTGCGTTGTTCTTGATTTGTTCTTGATTTGTTCTTGCGTTGTTCTTGATTTGTTCTTGATTTGTTCTTGCGTTGTTCTTCCATTGTTCTTCCATTGTTCTTTCATTGTTCTTGATTTGTTCTTGCATTGTTCTTGATTTGTTCTTGCATTGTTTTTGATTTGTTCTTGATTTGTTCTTGATTTGTTCTTGATTTGTTCTTGATTTGTTCTTGATTTGTTCTTTATTTGTTCTTTCATTGTTCTTGATTTGTTCTTGATTTGTTCTTGATTTGTTCTTTCATTGTTCTTGATTTGTTCTTGATTTGTTCTTGATTTGTTCTTGGGTTGTTCTTGATTAGTTCTTGATTTGTTCTTGCGTTGTTCTTGATTTGTTCTTGATTTGTTCTTGCGTTGTTCTTGATTTGTTCTTGCGTTGTTCTTGGGTTGTTCTTGATTAGTTCTTGATTTGTTCTTGCGTTGTTCTTGATTTGTTCTTGATTTGTTCTTGATTTGTTCTTGCGTTGTTCTTGATTTGTTCTTGATTTGTTTTTGATTTGTTCTTGCGTTGTTCTTGATTTGTTCTTGCGTTGTTCTTGATTTGTTCTTGCGTTGTTCTTGATTTGTTCTTGATTTGTTCTTGCATTGTTTTTGATTTGTTCTTGCGTTGTTCTTGGGTTGTTCTTGATTAGTTCTTGATTTGTTCTTGCGTTGTTCTTGATTTGTTCTTGCGTTGTTCTTGATTTTTTCTTGCGTTGTTCTTGATTTGTTCTTGCATTGTTTTTGATTTGTTCTTGGGTTGTTCTTGATTAGTTCTTGATTTGTTCTTGCGTTGTTCTTGATTTGTTCTTGATTTGTTCTTGCGTTGTTCTTGATTTGTTCTTGATTTGTTCTTGCGTTGTTCTTCCATTGTTCTTCCATTGTTCTTTCATTGTTCTTGATTTGTTCTTGCATTGTTCTTGATTTGTTCTTGCATTGTTTTTGATTTGTTCTTGATTTGTTCTTGATTTGTTCTTGATTTGTTCTTGATTTGTTCTTTATTTGTTCTTTCATTGTTCTTGATTTGTTCTTGATTTGTTCTTGATTTGTTCTTGATTTGTTCTTTCATTGTTCTTGATTTGTTCTTGATTTGTTCTTGATTTGTTCTTGCTTTGTTCTTGATTTGTTCTTGATTTGTTCTTGCGCATTGTTCTTGCATTGTTCTTGCATTGTTCTTGAGTTGTTCTTGGGTTGTTCATGATTTGTTGTTGCATTGTTCTTGGTTGATTTTTTTATGGTTTTGCGTTTTTCCTGCTTTGTTTTTTAGTTGTTCTTGATTTGTTCTTGAATTTTTCTTGCGTTGCTCTTGATTTGTTCTTGAATTTTTCTTACGTTGTTCTTGGTTGTTCGTTGTCCTTGCGTTGTTGTTTGGTTGTTATTTAGATATTCTTGGTTTTTTAGTTGTTCCTGGGTTGTTCTGTCCTTTAGTAATTATTACAAATCTTCAAGTCGATCTTTTCAAACTACTGAGATGTGGTTTATGTAACAGCTAATGCTGCAACTTGTTCAAAACGCGTTTCAATCTTCTCTTGGATTGAAAAAGCCAACATTTCTACGACAAACAGTCACAATCACATGCCTCGAAGGTCTTGAAGGAGTTTCCATTGAAAAATGACTAATAGCGTGCCACTTTCCACAAAATAAAAAGCCAATAATTATCTTGGCACTCCAAAACCTAAATGTGATCTTATCAGCGGTACAGAACTTGCGTTAGAAAGATTCAGTACTGCGCGATTGTGTTTGAAATTTAACGAAAGCAATTTGTTCTGAAGGGGATTAAAAGTGTTGCCAAAAAGGCTTAGTAAAGTTTCGATGACCGTATTGTTTAAAAAGCTGTCTCTTTTTCTTTTTTGTCTAGTCTGTGTCACGCTCTCGCTTATTATGTCTAGCTCATTCTTAAATTTAGAACTGAAAATGTCGTCTTGAAGCAGAAAGATGATTTCATCGAAAACTTTGGTCATTTTGCAGTGCTTGCTTGCTTATTTTTTGCAAGTTATTCCAATTTAAAATAATTGATGCTTTGTATAACAAGTCCTGAGAGCAGAAACTTTGTTTTCATGAGCACCCTATAAATTCATTTGATGTCTAAGTGCATTAAAATTTTTTGCAGGATATTTGTACACGGTTTCAGGAACATACTCCCTTGCATTCTTCATTGCCGGTGGCTTTGCTGCTTTGGGAGGTTTTTCCATGTTCGCTGTGCAATATTTTCATTCGAAAAACAAAAGAACCTCTTTTTTCAACTTATTGTCCAAAGGATGCAGTTCCCAGCAAAATAAGAAGATTTTCAGTTTTATGCAGAGTTACACAAAACCAGATCATTCGAAAATCGAGAAAAACTGTTCAATAGATCCAGAACTTCCCAATTCGTTTATTTCGTTGCTTCAGCTAAATGACCCAAAAAACTATGTTGACGATTCTATACACGTGGAAAGGACCAAGAGCTTGCTGTCTTCAGATGAGGCTTGTTATGAAGTAGATGAAGCAGGTGGTTTCATGTTACCGCTTGGAGATAATGGTTTGGCTGCCTAAAGGCATAAAAAACATTTAGTTAGAACTTTAGCATTATGAAATTAGTAAATTCAGAAATAGTACCGTTATCAATTCATTTATTTATTTCAAATCCATGTTATAATTGCAATATATATATAATATATAATTATACTTGCAATATATAATTATATTTGCAATAGATATATGGATATCAAATTCCTTTGGAAAGTGTTTAGTTTTTGTAAGTTATTAGGCGAAACACTTCTGCCTTTTATTGGAAAACTCGATTTATTTCCAAACATTATAGGATTAATTGCTTTCAACAGTGTTTGTTTAGAATTGAAACTTGCAGTTAAAGGAAATCAATGTTTGAAGCCAAATAGATGCAATTATTCAGTAGCATTTTGAGAATGGTTTGTTTCTCGATTTTATCATTTGGCAAGAAAAGTTGCTTGATTTGATCAATTTGGTACGTCTTCGACAATATTCAGAAAAAGTATTTTAAAGAAAACGCTCTTAGCGATAGTTTCAACGATTGAATCAGCTATCTTTGGAAATGGCTGCTCTTTTAAACGGGCTTTTGAAGTCCTTTGTAGGGTAACTATCTCTACGAATATGCTCAACCACAAAAGTTCATAAACTACTTTATAAAGTTTTCTGTAAGGTTTTCTGAAACTGTAGCCCTCTCCTTTTGATTTGTGGTACACAGAAATGACCATATTGAAAATAACCCATTTCAACAAAACTTTTTTCTATCTGGTCTTTCTTTTGAAAGCTTTTATCTGCTGAAAGACTTAAGATCAAGTATTGAAGTTTTTATTTTGGCGCGGGTTTATATGTGGTAAAAAATAATAACAAAGCTCTAGTCCGAGTTGATTTTAACAAAATCGGGAGATATTTGCAAAGATAAAACCAGACAAAACGGGAAACAATGAATTTATCTAAATTTAACCCTTAATAAAAATTTGTTAATAATGTATTATTTTATCTAGTGTTAGAATTTTCACCTATTGGTGTTTCTTCTACTAGTAATTACCACCAGACTACTATAAGATTTAAACCTTTTTCATGAAACACCTGTTCAGATATAACGTTTCAACAAGCTCTAGTGCTTATATTAGCAGTTGTTACAAGTTAATTGTTAAAAGACTACAGTCCCTGACAGGTGTTGCTATTTTGGAACCGCTCCCCCAGTTGAATCACTGCTAATTATATGATTATGAATAGACTTTGAATTAGTGGAAGGGGGTAAACGCTATGTTTGCTTGCATGCTATCCAGCAGGTATTTAGCAGTTTGTCTTTGCACCTGTGTCCAAGATTGCTACTGGAAGCAAAACTGGCAAAATCCCTTTGAACCATTATTGAACCATTGAAATGGACAAGGCATATTTTCAAATTTTGCAGCACTTTCTTCTCTTCCCCATAACTTGTAAAATGAAACAGGTTTTTGACGATTTTTATCACGAAGGCAATACAGTTAATCTTGGCAAGGCAAAATTTTAACTTTTCAAATTTTTATTTTCAAATTAAAAGGCATCAAATGATGAATTTTGCAAAATATATCATATTGAAGGAATATTGCGTTTATCTCGTTGAAATTTTTGAAAAAAAATCAGGTTGCCACTAATGGTAGCAATTTTGAAATATTGTTGATTTTAAAAAACAGAGCAATTTTATCTACCAGTAATGAGGCTAACAAATGCACGTGGGGGATTGTTAAAAGGGCTTCTAACCGTCTTGTGGTAAGGGTCTTCCTCTCAACCACAAAAATAAAGCCTATTTAGGCCAACTAACAGCCTACTGGAATCTCTAACATCCAAAATCTTTAGAATTTTTTGCATCTTTTTCTTCAAATTCGGCTTTTTATGGAAGCTTATCAAAACATACATGGCAGAAATGTCCTGACATGAAATCTTGTAATTTGCAGAGAGAGGGCTTGAACAATTGTCAATTTGTGTAAATGATTGAGCGTTTTGTAAAGACAACATGCAAAATACAAAATACCAAGGTTTTCCCTTTTATTTTATACTTGCAAAAAATTGATAAATGCAAAAAATTGGCCATCTCGAGACATAAGTTTAAAGCAAGTTGTAAGCCCTTGCTAGCACATTGAACCAATTATTTGAGGACTATTTGCCGAACATTAAAATCTGTTCTCTTAAAACTAACCCTGCTCTGCGTGAACAGACTGTACAAGTAAATATTGAAATTCCACCGCAAAATATTTCCTCAGGCTGTGTTTACACGATAAGGGATTACTCACGTATCGGATTACTTTTTATATCGGATAGAGGTCCCGTTTACACGGCTCCGCATTAATCCGATACGTCCCATACCACTTTTGCGAAGTGAAATCACTCCGCTGTGAAAGTGGTATGAAAAGTGATCCGATACGTCCCGTACCACATTCCATCTCGTGAAAACGGGTGAATCCGATACGCCTTCACTTCGGAACCTCGTTCTGAATCTCAAGGAAAGTTCTCATCAACGGATTCTACATCTTTACCCTTTGGGTAACGTTCGCCAAAAACTATTTTATCTTGTCATCATTCGACCTAACATCTTTTCAATCCCTTTCCTCGAAAAGGCATTCACTGGCATATGCCTTTACCGATTCAGGCTTCAATTCCAATTCTGCCTCCCTCTTCTGCCTCCTTTCTTCTTCTATGCCACTGGTCAGCACTCATATTTCATACTAAAGTGATAATTTTTTTCCGAGACCTTCCTCTCCTCAGTAGACTAACGAAATTTCCAGAATTTTACATTGCTAAAAATCGAAACAAAAGGAGTATGCTGCACAATGAATAGCGGAGCGTTGTCGTGTGAACAGGATGAAAACGGTATGAATATCAATCCGGTATCGTGTAAACGCAATCTAAACGGTATGCTTTTCATATCGGATAGCTGAGACCAATCAGATATGAAAAGCAATCCGGTATGAAAAGCAATCCGGTATCGTGTAAACGCAACCTTAGAAATTTTGCTGATTGGTGGGCAGCAGCTACAATCCCGGACAAAATTGTTGAGACAAAACCTTGTAAATTCGCGTTTTCAAGTTGGAAAGATCTCAACAGAAATCGTAACTGTTTTTTCGGCGTTTTATATCTTTGATTAATATTAACGTAATATCTGGCGTATTTGTTTGCATGTTGCCATGTTACTTCATTACCTTGGTAGCTACTGGCAACGAAGATATTTTGAAAATGGCGAAAATTGATTTAATATTTTGTCATTATTGCAAGTGATTGTGGAATTGAAATTTCAGAATTTTAGAAATATATCATAGAAGAATATGATAACATTGGAATACGAAATAAATATTCTAAAAGCCTCTAATTGTCCTAAAATTTTAAAGAGAACTATCAGGAAAGGGTGATCCTGAGTCACTGAGATGTATACCATATTTCTAATATTTTGGTCACCCTACTGTTCCTAATAGCTTGTATAGTTAAGCAACGAGTTTGGAACCATAATTTCATTGCTCAGTAAAGTCGAATGGCTCTGGATTAGAGTGATTTCTGGAATGTAATTGCTTTTGTGTGTTGCTTTACTGATGAATCATAATGGTGATCTTTGAAAATTGTTTGAAAATGAAACCCTTTTTTCAAGTTAACTTAGGCTGTTTTCTCACGAAACTGAAACTGAGGATTTGATCGAGCTTTTATTGCAAAGAAAATTTTGATAATTTAATAAGGAGGATAAAAATGTTTATGCTCAATAACGCATGGCTTTGCTTTGAAATCCTAAGGTTATCAAACCATTAGTTTGTTGTGCTGCTTATCAAGCCATAATGGTAGAAAAACCAAACTTTGGTAATCTGGGATAAAATAATTCTGAGTAACGTCTACAAAAACCAGAATTTCAATCTACAGAATTCCAGCATGCTTTAAAAAAAAGATTTAACTGTCCTTTCATAGTCAGGGTGAAGAGTTTTATTTGTGAATAAAGAAAAGGTCACAATAGCAGTCTGCTCAACGGAATCCAAGGATATAAGTATATTTCTTAAATTTAATTTATTTTGAAAATTTTATCTCGTGACATTGGATTCTCGTCATCGTATTGCTTTGTTCCTGTATATCTTTCTGAGTAAATTACATTGTGTGAATAAAGGAAAGGCTATGATGGCAGGCTGCTCGATGGACACAGAATTAATTCTTGCGGCGAAAAATCGATGAAAACGAAGCAAATAAGAAACACCGCAATGCGACGAGAATGAACAGCAATAAATACACGTAAATTGGTGAAGGCTAATACTTCGATCTTTTTTGCTCTTATGTATGCCGGGGCAAAATATTAGCCTTCACTAATTTACGTGTATTCAGTGTTGTTCATTCGCATTGTGGTGTTTCTTATTTGCTATATGAAGAGTTTTAGCATGGAAGATTTTTCTGATCAAATCTCTATCAACTTTTCTCACTTTAGGTCGTTATAATTATGGTTTTTATTACCAATATGTTTTTAAAAAAAGTATATATGGCGATAAATTTCAAAACGTGACCGTAAACTGAATTTGTGCATCAAATCTTGTTTATTTAAACTTATAAACGTGACAAGGATTCTAACACACAAAAAGTATTTTGCAGCAAAGAAATATAAGAGTAAGGTGAATGAATAAAAAATGCGAAGCGAAAATTTGTGATCCATTCAATTCTTTGATATTTATTTACATCTAAATTTATCACCAATAATAGGCGGACTGGAATCCACTACGTAATATCACACGAAATTTCACAGATTGACGCTCTTTAAAACTGAGAAACTCTCAGGAAAGTGCAAACTCAATTGGTTTGTACAAGGTTGGTTGGGGGTTAAGGTTGTTTACTATTCAAATCTTTGTTTATGTCATAATTACTATTCCAAGTTTTCCGTTGAGAGGTATGAGAAAAGAACATGCATAGGACTTTTGTCCTCAAAAGTACATAAAACATACAGATAGCTTTTTGCATATTAACTTCAAATTTTACGATTCCTTGAAAATTTACTGGAAATTTTACCGTTTCTGAACGGATATGCCAAGCTGTGAAATATATTGCTTTCTCCAGGCCATAATTAAAACGAGGTTCTAGCCATTCATTAACCTCGTTATAGCGCTAAGGATTATACAGACAATATTTACACAAAGACGTTCGAACTTCTACAGTTCTTGAACTGGACTTTCCTAATAAGAAAACCTTCCTTTATGAAGCTTTATTATCACAATACATGACAGAAAATATTCCGTGGAGCAAGCAGATCTGATATTAACTATCTATCTCCTTGCAAAATAATTAATCTTTAAGGCTATTTGGTGACTTGAGATCAAACATGAAGTCTTTGTAAACTATTGGGAGTGTTGTCAAATTACAGACACAAGATGCATCTTTCCTCTTATGAACCTGACGTTTATTTACCTAAAGGGAGATGAGTGGATGTAGATTTTTGGCTCAACGACCTAGCGAATCTTAAGCGACGAATTCTATCATCTAAATGTCATTTCAATGGAAACTAGCGTCATCAGCTGATCGAAAATCGTCAGTTGATAGACGACATGGCTATTTGGTCAACAACCAGCTAAAACGGTCGGCTAGACTTTAAGACTCTAAACACTTTGTGTATACACTAAGATTTATATACAATTTATATAGATAAAATAATTCAAGTTAATTCACTGGAAGCGCTGGTCCGTACTAATGAACTAACAATCTCGGCACTAGAAGGTCTCTCACCGGGTTCGGGTGTATATGTAAAAGTCAATCCGGTCGGGTATATCACACCGTCACAGCGCACGAGAGAAACCGGGACCTGAGTCGGAGACCTGACGAATTTCCAGCCGTCTCTAAATGCCGATATATCGGGAACTACACAAAACATACTATCTTCACATCTAGAACAGAGAATAATTGTATGTAAATGAAAAGAGACAAGACACAACATATCTAGGACATGTAAAGTAAATAAAGTCCGACAGGCGAATACAAAATTAATTTTAACACACGAATTCCCTATCAGCTATAATACAAATAAAATAAACTTCTTCTATTACAATTACTTCTTTAATATATACAAAATAAAGGTGTTGCTGTTAAGATTATCTTCAAGCCTGTTTATAGCATCTTTCTTTAAAGCAAATAAAACCTAGCCATAACAAAATGTACCAACTATTTAGGTGCGAAAGCACAACATGGTTTCAAAATTCCTAAAGCCGTGAAACATCAACCAAACATGAAAAAAGCAAGCTACTCTGACTACATATATTCAAACGGTAAAAGCCATAAACCAGTTGACTTGAGACCCTTTAATAGAGATTCGGAGATTTGGACTTTCAATATCATCACCATATTCACAATCAACAAAATCAACTTTACCTGTACATCGTCTCTGCCTCTACGTCACCAAACCATACTTTCAAATTCGGAGTGAAATTCTCTCCTTTCAATTCTACCATCGCAACATCGCCGCCACCATTTAACTATAGATGAGAATCAATCATTCAGCGCTTTGTAAGATAAGAGGTGACAGAGACTTAGATTGCTAGCACGTGATTAATGCAACTTTAGAGTCTGTTAAGTACTTCCCTTAGAGGGCACAAGGTATGTTTGATTAATTTTTCATTAAAGCGAACTATACAGAGCAATGAATCTTTGGAGCAGAAAACGTGCAAGGTTCAGACCGATTTACATGAACAAACAGACGAAAGGAGAACGCACGAAACGTGTGATGGGAAAGGAGGTGTTCAAGCAATATCTGAAAGGAGACAGTTTTCGATGTAAGTGACGGGTATGTTTCTACTCAAAGGTGGCAGGAATAAAGCTTCTTCGGTGCCTGGATTGAAAATGAGGGGTTTCCAGTCTGGGGCTTGCTTAAAAGGATTGGGGAATATGGATGAAGTTAAAAATGAAATGTGAAGTATATAAAGCTATGCCTTTAAAAAACCAATTTAGTTCATTTTCATTGCATAATGTGAATGATTCTCTTGAATACATGTAACCAAAATATGACACAGTCACAAATGTTTTTAAAATATGAAAAAATAGATAAAAAGGATATTGAGCAGTAGAGTACATTAATGAGGTTTACACATGTAAAAAGCTTGTTTATTCACTGATGTAGAGTCAGACATGATCAACTCCATATAATACAATTCATTAGAGGACTGCAAAGACCTTAGGCCCTCCAAATAGTAAACGAGTATATGAACAGAAAGTGTATTGGAATTATGATTTTGTAGGAAGTTTTCCCTTGCCAAGAAGTATTAGAACAGATGATGAGATATCAATGAAATGTAATGATTGGGGTGTAAAAATGAAGAATAAAGAACAACGAACCAGTGGCAAAATGTCAGTATCTTAACGCTTTTTGCGAAGAAACGAGTAGAAGCTGAAGTTTTAGAAACTTTGACCCTTAGAGGACAGTATAGACAAAATTGGTCATACTCAAGAGAATAAAAATTTTAGAGACCTGCACTATTATTGATAAACTCTCAAAAACGAAGAAACTAATTCATTAGAAATCAATACCTGCAAACACGTGACCTGTGGAACAGGAGTTACTGAGGTAGGAACAGGTCCCATCCCTTCGCAAAATGTGTACTCTGCTTTATCTAGATAGACAAACAACTAGTTAGATTAATGCATACAAGACGTTTATGAGTTGACTGTAAAAAAATCACCCAATCAAGCCTACAGGGGTTATGCAGCAAGAAGAGCCATCCAACACAGCTTTTCGACATAAAATTCAACGAAACTGAAAAGCTTTCAAATATTATCACAACGGAGGAATTCTAAGCAAATTTCTTGTCAGCGAAGAGAACACAATTCATTGTTTGGTAATATTCAGCAAATGAGATACGGCTGGAATTTACAACACAGTTTAAATTGTTCTCTTACTACTTTCTTCAACTGAGGCAAAGTGTCAATGAAAGACAATTAATGCTTTATTCCGACCAAAAGAGTCGCAATCCCGATTTTTTGTGATAGAAAAACGTTTCAATGCAATTTCAAATCGATTTTCTTCAACAGAAATGCAGCAATTTATCAAAAAACTTTACCTGTACTTATGATTGTCCAAGACGCTCCATCATTAATCATTTCTTTGTTCGCATCTTTGGGACAAGGAGTTGCCTGAAAAGCGAAAAACACCATGCAACTCAATGCTATAGAATTAATAACATTGGAAATATTGTAAGTATGAAAGGTGGATGTCAAATTTCTAAACAGCGTATCCGACTCCTTGAGAGGGAAGAAAATTCACTATCTTAAAATTTGGCAAGAGAAATGCGATTATGTGGAAAAAAACACAATAAACAATATGTGTGTTCAGGAAATACATCTTCGCCCTGCGAGCTACAATATTTTATTGACATAACCCAATCATCATTGCCTGTCTTATTTTCAGACATCTTTGATCTCATTCATCTTTCATTATTTATCTCCCTGTATTGTTCGCATTTGCGTATCTCTTACTCTACTCTGCTCTTCATTCTTAGCATCGTTTTTGTTATGAATTCGTATCCAAGAAATAACTCTCCTGGTTAAACAAAACGCCCAGCACTTATTCATTCATCAATTCTGCAGACACAATGACGTAAACAAGATATCTCATAATCCCGGTTCCCTATGTTACTGTATTAGACCATTTCCCGTTGATGTAGACATTAATATTATAATTCGCCACAATAGGCAGTAGTCATAGTCCTAGAACAGTTTTGATTTAATCGAAAGTCAAAGAAGTAATCAGAAAAGAACTACAAACTTTGAGAAATGAAGTCTAAATTAGTCCCAATCTCAAAACCATGCCCAAAAACACAAATTGTAAAGCCAAACTTCGAATTTCAAAGACAAATTATACAGCATAACAGACTATGTTGTAGCCCCTGTCACTGAACTTGCCAATTTTAATCATTTGAATCTGGAAGTCTCCATCACTGACAGTCACCGAGCCGTAGAGACAATATTTCAACGCAATAATTATATTTCATAATATCAAGTGTAGGGTATTCCACTCTTCCTTTGCTTTCAGAGGAAGTTTGAACAGAAAAGGTTTCACAAGCACCCCAACTCTAAGCTTTCTCAACTGAAAAGAACTTTGTGGCTACCAAAAATTAGAAACAAGCTTTGATGGATAACAGGATTAACATTATCGATGTTTGAAAATGACAGCATGAAACACTGCTAAGTTTAAAGACAGTATGTCCTTATAGACTCAAATTGCATGCAAGGTTGTTAAAACATCTGATGAAATCCTGACATGGTTGGATTGGTTGAGACAGAACTGAATCTCTTAAAGCATGCTATTTGCATTTCCAGGAATTCCTACATTTTTACGACCACTAGAATCCTCCTTATCATGCCAATGATAGCTTATCTAAACTCTTTGTTGTGACAATGACGTACCAAAATACTTTATCAGGAAGAAACTTGAGTTAACTAAGCGGTCTATTGAAGCAAATAGTCGATCAAAATGCGATGTTTCTTGTGATCCAGGTATCTTTTCACATCATCTAGTCTCAATAGCAGTTTACTCACTGCCAATGTTTCTTTCTTCACTTTTTTGTAAACCTTAATATCTTAATATGGATTGATCTATCTTTATGTAATTTGCCATTGACTAAACAATATTTGGGCCCCATGGTTTCGTTTTTGTAGTTTTGTATGTACTGTAGGCATCAAACATAAACTTTTACTGGAACATAATGATAATGACGTGAGTCCTTCTACAAAATTTGCTTTTCTTTGCTGTATCAAATAGCAAGGTTTTAGACAGAAAGGTTTAGAACGAAACCATTTGAACCGCCTTCTTTTTTTCAAACATAAGTATCAATAACTAAAATATAACATATGCTGGAACGAAGATTCTCCAAGGGAGCAATTTTCATAAAAAATAATTTTATATACCTTTTAACGAAGAAACGAGCAAAAAATTAACAATAAGAGCAATTATAGTAGAATTTATAAAAACTTCGCCATTGGGAAAAATTGAAATGAAATACATACTTGAAATTGTATAATTCGTTCTTGCGAAAGACATAAATACATTCGGTCAGTGTCTTTCATATAAAATGCAACCTGAAATTGAAAATTCATTGTGTAAAACGACGTGAAAACTTTGGCACTTTAAACTTTGCTTACTTGAAAGCAATTTGACTTTGAAAGCCTGATAGCATAAGGAAACCATACGAGATTTTACCAATTATATCAAAAATTAATGTATCAGTTTAATACAAAGTTTATGAAAACATATTTTCTGTTTACTCTCTAAAACGTACTCTCATGATGATTAGATTTTAACCCCGAATATGTTTTAATGCTTTTCTTTACTCGGTTTTTGCTTTAGCCCTACCGGTTGCTAGGTCAAGAAAGAAAGAAGGGGAAAGTGCTTGCGAAAAATTCCTCTAAAGCAATAAAAAGAAGTTGATAAAGAATTTCAAAAAATTATTGATGTCTTTTAAAAATTTGAATTTGAAATGGATTTGAAAAAAGGTGATGTAAAATGTCCATGTAAAATGTCAAATAAAATGTCTAGACATGCAAATGCTTTTGTTTGACACATCAAAACGCAAAACGACAGAGTAATGAATGAAGGTAAAGATCTCTTTTAGCAATAACATCGGGCTCAGCCTAGCGAGTTACTAGCTGGATTATTACTAGATTCTACCTGTAGGTTGATACCCTCAAAAACCTTACAGCTTTTCTTAAAGGAACATTTTAGGAACGAAGAAGAATGAGTCGATTACAGACATTTTCTAACAAGATATCTTCCACGTCCAAAGACGGTCCTCTATGCAAAATTTGATAAAGTTTGTGACACTAAAACTCCATAAGATTATTCATTTTCACAGTGGAGCAGTGACCTTAACTTTTAAATTAATTGACTAAAAAACAAGAAAATTATATTGGAAAAACTATTACTGTCATGCATCTACGAGAAACAGCCGGAATTTTTGGTCAACGTTTGCTTATTGTCTAAATGGCTCCAAACACACTGACAGAAAGATTGAAACCAAGGTTGTAAAAAGGCATTTCTAATCGTTAGTACCATAACGCATAGGTATTCATGGGAATATAAAATGAGATATTCATTACCTTATGCAGTTGTGACACGGGATCATCTGCATCAAGAACTGTCATCTGCTTATCAACTTTTCGTATAATCTGCAAAAAGATTGATCACCTATTGGTAAGATTGCTTAGATTGGGCCTAAATCTGACCTGAAATCTAATTTGAAGCAAAATCTAATTTCTTTTCTATAACTTTGCCATTAGAAAACACAAATAAGAGGAGCAAAGCTGAGTCACCTTAAGGACATCGTAGAGTTAATTCAAAATACAATTAAAGAAATCGACACTTGCTATAAAAATCAGATCAATTTTAAAAAGTAACTTTGATTTGGTTTAAAACAGTTGAGTTCATTTCCTAGCTACTGGCTCGAATCTTGAAAAACTGACACAATGGTGTTGGGAAAACGATGAACAACAAATATGCAAGGTGCTATGTGCTTGGTTTGGTCTTTCTTTTTAGTATAAAAGGTTACTATGACAAAATGACTAAATGACAGCAGGTCCAGTAAAAAAAATTAACCATAGACAAAAGCTAGCAACGAAATGAACACTAGACAGTAGAATGTCACAGTGAGTAACAGATAATATATTAAATGGGTCTATGAAAACAGTATATTTTGCATCGCTCTTTGTTGATATACATTGCCCAGTTCTTTTAATCCTTTGATTCGGAGAACCGGTTGGACACCCTATTCAAAGTTTCATTTTTCACGCTGTCAGAACAGGTTTCAAAAGCTTAAAGATGTTTTCTACACGCTGTCCCATTTTCGAATGACTAAGCATTTTACCATGCTATTTCGCTCCGTGTGGACCGTAAAGCTTAGGCTAATGTAAATTTCTTGGTGACGTGTCTGAACTCAATTACATGCCAGAATACAATACAAGGATTAATTCTGGTTTAACAAGAAAAAATACTTTGATCCTTGCATACGACAAAAGTGAAAACAGAGGATGTCAGCAATTAGCAGCCTTCAAGGTTAAACCTGCCCATAACATTAAACATGGGCAAACTATTAACAATAATACAAAAAAGCTGAAGGTGTATTTTCAGTACATTAAAAGAAATATCCAAATATTTGGCCTTGTGACCTTTTAAACCAATAATTGTATGCTGGTTAACGTGGAATTCACTCAATGACGCAATGAAGACAAGATTTCTTTCCAAGTAGACCAAGATTTTCTTGGGAGCAAGAACAATCCAAATTCCTTTGTGAGGTTTGTGATGAGTGAGGGACAAACGTTTTAGGATCAAAGCACAAGCGCAATAATTATTGAGTTCAATTCGTTTCCCCCTTGCAAGTTTACACGTGTATCAGAGCTGCCAAAAGGGCTTTGTGCTATTCAAGTCATTTTGAGAGGAATACACTCGATTACCAGAGAAACTACTAACAAGAAAATTTAGTACCGTTTCTAATTAGAATTCAATAGTTAGTACACTATTTGGAGGAATATTAGTGGCAGTGAGTTGTTTGAAAAGTTTATTAGCAGTCGCAAGATCTGAACACCAGTTCGTGGCGTTTTCCTTTTTTTCCAGAGCGGAGCAATGTGAACGCTTCATCGTTTTCACACCGTTATCAAATGTATCCGGAGCAGTGTGAACAGGTAAAACGGATCGATATGAAAACGGATTAAAAACGAATACGGAGCAATGTGAACATAGCCTTATTCTTTAGTTATACCCAAACTGTATGGTTTTTAAACAGCTACGGTCATTCTTCAAGAAGGATTACAAACACTGCTGACCTTGCAGGAATCTTAAACTATGATTATTTTGGAAAAACAAAAAACTTGAGCTTGCAAGAAACTTAAACTATAAAAGTTTTACATTTGGCATCTGTATCATAGGAAATTCTGTATCAGAGCGTAAACTATCGCAATCTGTACTGAAATGCAGCATCTGCTAAAACTATGTCCACCTGAGCTTTGGGAATGTTAAACCATACCTTGCGAGCATGTAGTAAACATTTTATCGTACAAAGTAGGGTAAAATACGTCAACCGCACGTAAATCAAGAAGTTTTCTAAATGACAAGTTTAGCGAAGAACATTCTTTAGTAAAAATATTTTTGCTTACTAGTCGAGGAAGAGCCAGTCCAGTATTTGAGCAAACAAGTTTCACAGTTTGCCCATAATGTATAAAGCCCTCCTTCACAGTGAACTCTTCGCTTTCCTTCTCATCATCGTCAACTGTCGTCAAAATAAACAAGAAAATGACGAATTAAAAATTTAAAAAATATCTCTTAGGGGGTTCACCCAATTTTTAATGATAACAAGTAAAAATCGCCACAAAGGAGAACGAATAGCAATAAAGTATAACACCCGCTACCAAGCTTTTGCAGCAGAAAAATACGAAAATAATACTGCCTGTAAGGTTCAGAATTTTGGAATAGTTTTTATAATATAAACGACTGAGGGGCTACCATGGGTGAAAAGATAAATAAAGCAAAACCAAAAGATAATCTATAGGTTTTGAAGATACTTTCACTTAAGAGTCCACAAGAAAAATAAAATCCTATACATGAAATTCAGGCAGCATAAATGGGAACAAGACGACGTTACCAATAAAGGCCTTGGCGTTTCTGGTCGACATGGCGTATGTTTTAGGCAGAAGTTTTGGCATTTCTGGTCGAACTGGAATATGTTTCATGTAGGAAATTTAAATGATTCCGATGAAAGGAATACATACGAAGGTGAATTGTGAAGGCGCCCCACTGTTGGCTACTTGCTTTGAAATTCTCTTCTTCGACGTGAAGGTAACGAGTGCTTACTGTCTGTGATCGCAGTCTGTTGAATAGAGCTACTGTTGTTCCGGATGAAATGCACACTGAAATAGAATTCAATCATCAAAAGATAATTGCTGCCAGGTCAGGATATTAAGACATCATGTTAAAGTTACCTGAATCTAGCCAAAATTGTGATTTCATGAAGCGTCGAAATCCTTGATAAACATTAAAGGACACTAAACACGTACCAAAATAAACAATTAGCCAAAAAACAGGTAATTTCGAGGCAACGGGCACAGCAGAATTTTATTATCATTGTCATTCGGCCCACATTTTTTTTACAAATGTCTCCTTTACTTTTGTAAAAATACTTAATAGGTGACAATATATGTACATTTTCATATTTTTGAAGCATTTCTCGTTTTCTGTTACTGAAATGAAAAACATAACAAAGAAACATACGCTCGGTGTTTTTAAACGATTGTTTTTTCTTCGATGGTTTTGATATGACCTGAAAATAAAAAAAATTGATCAACATCAAATAAACATGGAAAATTTGATATTATTGTATAAGGATCATTTGATCAGTATTTAATAAGTCGCTTTTATCTGTAAAAACACAGTATAAATAAGCTTAAAAATAAAAATTCAGTCTAAAAAACCTAAATAATTTGGCATAAAAGGCAATATTACTTATTAGAAAGAAAATTCTCTGAAGTATTTGGGGTAAGAAAACCCTGTGAAGTAATGGCTGAGGAAAACCATGCGAAGAGTGACAGCCTACGCTTTCATCGAGATTTTACAACCTCGGGCATCCTGGGATACCTATATTTGTTTGCACTGCATCGTGAGATGGTTTTGGCGCAATAAAGGCTCCTTGTTGATGGAAAAGCGTAGGCTTCAGGCCTTCAGAAATATACAATGCTCATTCTCCGTTATAAACATTGGGCAACGTTTGAAATACTTGTTATGAGAAAATTTTCGGAGCAATGTCAATAGTTTAACAAGATTTGAAATTCAGTGATATTTTTAGAGGTTCCATGCAAATAAAGTAACGGTAAAACTTAATTGTTTTCACCACAAACAACTTATAAAAAGAGGCCTTCCGCTTTCCAAGAACGCCATCGAAAAATAAGGTGTTTTTACATCGCTTAAGATAACTATTGTTGTGTGATACACAGCGCAACTTTAGCTACAAACAACGATGGTTCAAAATTCAAGACCGTATGAAGAAAATTCTACAGGGCATAAACTATTTATGGAAAACCATCAATGCATAAATTTTTAAAAGACGTTGCTATAAATGGGTTATCCAAATATTGTATGAACGAGAAAGCACTCGTTGACTATTCTAAATGCAAGAAATCTGGAAGTATGAAAACATCTCCTAAAATCATTATAAATTAAGCCGTTATTTGAAATGACGCCAACTTTCAATGGACACTTCAAAATCAAGACTCTGAAGGATCAATAGGGGTTTGGCTGATTCATTTAAAAAATACCGGTACTTTTTGTTTCATTTACCCTTAATTTTCTGCAAGAATGGGTAGTACGATGAGGTGATATAAAGACAACGTTTTCGTTGAGGAAAGGAAAAGAAAAGAAAAGAAAAGAAAAGAAAGGAAAGGAAAGGAAAGGAAAGGAAAGGTAGGGAAAGAAAGGAAGGAAAAAAAAGGGAAAATAAAGGAAGGGAAAAGAAAACAAAGGAAAGGAAAAGAAAGGAAGGGAAAGGAAAGGAAAGGTAGGGAAAGGAAGGGAAAGGGATGGAAGGGTAATGTATGGAAAGGAAAGGGAAGGAAAGGAAAAGAAAAGAAAAGAAAAGGAAAGGAAAGGGAAGGAAAGGAAAAGGAGGGAAAAAGATAGAAAAAGAAAGGAGGGGAAAAGAAAGGGAAAAGAAAGGAGGGGAAAAGAAAGAAGGGAAAAGAAAGGAAGGGAAAAGAAAGAAAGGGAAAAGAAGGGAGAAGCAGGGAAAGGAAAGGTAAGTTAGAGAAAGGCAAGGAGAAGAGCCAGGACGGGAGGAAAGAAGGAAAGGAAAAGAGGGGAAAGAAAGGAAGGAAAAGGAAGGGAAATGGAAGGAAAGGTATATCTACTACTTTTCTAAAACTTGAACTCTCTACTGTTTGCTTCTGGACTGCAATTGCAGGGTATCAGAAATGGTTTGATACAGAAAACATATTTGATTTCTGATAACACAACCAATAAAATCAAACTCTGTCTCGATCTCCTTCTTTTCGAGCACAGTGAGAATCACGCACATTACAGCTGGTGGGTATGAACAAGGCATTAGAAGTGGCAGAAATTTCTTCTATAGTTTCGTGCTTTTTCCCTTCAAACCATAATGAGAATTGCTAATTACACTTTTACTACAGATATCCCAAATCAGTTCGTTATCGCAACCTTAAAGTACTAGGCTCAAAACATTATTAAGGCAAGTTTCCCAAAACAATACTGGCTATCAACTGCCCGTGTAAAAAGGCAAACGCTGTAGCTTGATAAGAAATAGGTCAACATAACAGTTGAATTCTTCAGCGGCTCTTCTCAGACAAAACAAAACTAAAACATCGAATTCATCCATCTACTTTCATTATTCCAAGTCAGTAAATTTGCCAAATAAAACCCACTTGTAATAATAAAAAAGAATTCTTGACCTGCTTAAGAAATTCCGCGCTTTTTATTATTCGCTTAATCTTCAAGTTTATGGCTTTTCTGTTTCAATTGAATGTATACATTTCTAGTTTGCCGTTGTGTTTATCACATTTATACTTAAAAAGCGATATCCCTATCACTGATCAACGATAAAAACTAAAACACAATGGTGATAAATTTTATAGCATCGTGGGAAAAAATGAAAGGGATAACGCTGTAAAAAATTGTGGAAAAGATTGGGTCATATGATCAATCGAGGGGCCGTATGATCAAGCCTGGATCCACAAGTCACAAAAGGAATAATAATGATATATTTAGGTATCGGTGCCATATAAATACTAAGAACAAAAGATGCAGCAGAATCATGTCTAAATACTAAATGCACCAATCACAGCATAGAGCTCTTCTACGAAGATTTTTTTTAATAAAAGCTCTAATGCTTCTCCTCATTTTCTCATCTCACCATCACATCACTATACCTGCACAGCCCCACCTTCAGCCCCTTTTCCCCCCTCCTTTTAATTACTGTCCAATCTAATTGTATTTTTTTCCTTTCACTCTCTCGACATTCCGTCCCTTTCCTTAACATTATAGTAACACCACAGCGTAAAGATTTTTACCCGCACTAACAGCAACGTACATAATACTCCTTTAGACTACATAACGCATACAAACCTTTATCCTTTTAGAATTGAATAACCCAACTGATTTGCCACTTGCGTATAACAACTAAAAGAGAGGGATAAATGAAATATAGTAATAAACCAATTAGATACAAAATACACAGAAGAACAGCTTCTTATTCACTCTACAAAACTTGGCATCTTGCACTAGAGTAAAAGCTATATTGAT